CACGGCGAGCTGTGACACCGCAGAAACTGGGGCTCTGCCACCCACACGACGTGATGCGCAGCGCTGATGAGGCTGGAGGAGGGAGACCTTGCAGCCGACCAGGGGATCTCTTCTGCTGCAGCTGCAGCGGTGGACGTCTGGCTCCGTTCTCTGAGCCACAGCCTTCAGTTCCCTACCCACTGGGCTTTCACAGGGTTCCCAGATGGCAGACTGCGCAGAAGAGCATATTTTTCTCACAACCTAGGTCTGGAGTGCACAGGCAGGAAGGGAAGGGGAGAGTTCGAACTCTACTTTCCACGCTGTTATTTCAGAGAGGAGAAGCAGTCTCCAGCAGCCACTGTGGAATGAACTCGGGTACCAGCAGACACCTCTTTTCTGTGGGCTCTGCAGTGCATGCATATCTGTCTTTGCAAGAGTGCGGAGCTGAACAGAGGATGTAAATCCTCTCCTCAGAGGTTTCAGAGATGGGGTTTTTACTGCCTTTCTGAAGACTGCTCCATTCTAACCAGCAGAATTTCATCTCTGAGTTCCCGTATCTGTGCCAGGGGCCCCCCTACATGATCACAGGGCAATCACCTTTCCCTTGTCAGCACGTGGCTACCCTGCCATCAAAACCAAGCTGCAGTATTTTCTCTGTCCACCCTGTTTACTTACATGCTATGCTTCGGTGCAGAGACCAGATGTTCACAGCACCAAGGACTCGGGAGCATCAAACCACGTCTCAGGAACTAACAGTAAATAGCATTCCAGGGCAGTGTGCAGGCTGGAGCCGGGCCAGCAGCGACCAACGCATGAACACAACATTAGAGAGCTAATACATCGCCTGCTATAAAGAACAGCACAAGAGGTGCAGGAAGTCTTGTACATAAGCTCAGTCCTTGTCCTGTCTTTAGGAAAATAGCTTAGATCCAGGCAGTATGGGGATCTTCAGCATTTCCTATTTATTTTGCTGTCACTGCCAGGCATATCGCATTGCATTCCCTATGGCTCATACGAATAGGATAGCTGGAGGGATTTCCGAGGTACCACTGCAGCTGGCAAACTGCTTAAAGGCTCTGTGGTACTTGGGCAGGATTGGGCATTTCCCAGACAGCAACACAGAGTGTGTGTGCATCGGCACGCTGCTGTGCAAGGGCAAGAACACACATTTCTACACACAGGCCAGGATGAAACCCATAGGTGTGCAGAGCTGCCTGTGCAGGTGTGCTCCAGGTACAGGTACCTAGAAGGTACCTACATTGCACAGAAGTCGATTGATCAGCCTCTGAACAACCGGCCTTGGAAAGGGCCGCTTTTTACAATTAACACATCCACAGATGGGGAGGGTGAAGAGCAGGAGGACTAAACTGGCTAAACTTGTGAGACAAAGCCATTAGCACTGCAAAAGACTGGGATCTGCTCCCTGGCACAGTGAATTGTTCTCTGTTATTTCCTCAGCCTCTCACTGCCTCAGTTCCCTGGAGGCGTGGGGTTCCCATTAAAAAATGTAGGTGGATATATTCAATAGTGACTAATACACTCTATTACTTAGAGCACTTGGGGGTGGTCCATGCGTCTAGATCAGGATATGAAGATTAATTATGGGCCACACCCTGTGATCTCCACTCAGCAAAGCCCTTATTAGCTTCTGAAGGTGAATCCAGCCCTGATGTCAACTTGCCAACCCAAACACAAACAGCTGGGACTCGCAGGGGAAAAAGGGAGACTCTATCCTCACTATTCAGACCTCGTGCACAACAAGGACCCATGAAAAAGACTGTGCAGAGGGCCCTTCCCATGACATTGCTTCCAGGAGATTCTGTGCCTTCCTATGGGTTGAAGCTACACCAAATGCACCTCCAGTCATACCCCCGTGACAAGACTGAGACCTACAGCCCAGCGAACTTTTCAAGGGTACTGCATGCAGCGGAGAGCTGCAGAAAAAGTGCAGGGCAAGACAGGCCCTGAGAGCATCACCCACAGAGAAAGATGCTGACCAAGGCCTGCTGTGTCCCCAGAAGTCAGAGATCTTGCTGATAAGCCCATATGAAAAGCAACAGCCTCTGGCACTGCTCATCCCTGAATGACAAAATGCACAGTGATGCAAGAAAGGATGGTATCCTGCCTTCTTGTGGATTCAAATCTGCCCACTGGGTTTTGTCTGAAAAAGAAAAAACTGCCTTTGTGCAACTTTCTCTTTTTTTTGTTTTGAGCTAATAGAAATAGAACAAGGGCAAGAGAGAGCAAAAGCAGTGCAAAAGGCAGGTCTCCAAGAAACACTAAAAAATGAATTGCAACGTTTGCCCTGGTGTCCCTTAAAAGACAGTTCTTTTCATTTCCCAAGGCTTCTGCTGTCGCAACACAAGGGTGCTGCAAAAGATTAAAAGGGCAGACACACCGTTTTCCTTTCTGAAAGCATTATTTTGACACTGAGCAGCCAGCTTCGCACAAGGGGAGAGCGTGTGCTCACACTTACTGGAAGGTTTCTTGGTCAGCTACGGCAATTGTTTGCCAGAAAGATGCAGCATGTGTGAGCATGCTGAACCCGACCAAGGCCCTGCATGCTGGAGGCACTTGCCTCAGAGGGGGCACAAGTGCAGGGCGCTGGAGGCACTCACGGCCCCTCTGGCCTCAGAGGGGGCACAAGTGCAGGGCAAACAACAGAAAGATGCAGGATGCTGCAGGCCAAGGGAGGGAAGAGCAAATCCAGGCATCGCTGTAATTGGCTGGAGCTCTGCGAGACACTGCCCTGATGAGGACAAAGCCACAGGAGAAGAGAATCGCTGAGCCCACCTCGATGGATCAGGGAACTTCGGGATGCCAAATAACAAGTGGGAAAGCTCTCCCCCTCTCCTTGCTGACACGTGGAGGGAAACCTTTATGGACACCGTCTCACTTCACTGTCCTAGAGAATCAAAATGACATGAGACTTGGGTCAGGTCTTCCATAGGTCAGCCCAGCTCGGAGGGAGCCAGCTCTCATTAAAGCTGTTACTGCGTCGCTAACGATTCCAAGTTCACAGTGCTCCGCTGGAGAAGCTGACAGCGTTTCGCTAGGAATGCTTGTGGGGGGATGCAGGGATGGATTTATACCTCTGCCGCATGAGATGGGAAAGTACTTAGAACCAGTGTCACCAATTTAATTTTTCTTCCTCTGTCTTTCATACACCCATACGTATTCAACCAGGAAAATGAAATTATTGGTCAGCTACCTTCCCATTCCAGTAGCATCCACTGTCCTGCTGACTTTGGCCATTTCCAAACACCCTACCAGAGAATTAACTCTTCTGGGAGAAATATCCTTCTTTTTCACCGTCTAATTATTCAATTCCTTCACCAGAACATCTTCTGTATCTTCCTCATTGCTTTGAAGCTGACACAGATAACAGAGCTGGGTGCTACATAGAGAAAGAACATATTTTACCCTCTTTTCCCGAGTGCCTCCATTTCCCTAC